TATTATTTCCTTCCCTTCCTTATTATTCTCTTCTCTTCTCTTCTCTCCTCTCCTCTCCTCTCCTTCTCTTCCCTTCCCTATTATTTCCTTCCCTTCCTTATTATTCTCTTCTCTTCTCTTCTCTTCTCTTCTCTTCTCTTCTCTTCTCTTCTCTTCTCTTCTCAGAGAAGCAACCTAGAACTAAGGAGAAATCTATATATATATACATACATATATACATACATACATATTAGCTCGATACCCGTGCTTCACTACAAAACTATGTGGTTGGGCTTAGTTTTGGGGGAGGAAAATAAGGGGAGGGGGGAAATTCGGCCTCTGCCTACCAGCATCCATCGGTATTCATCTGGCAAGCGTCCTGTCAGTGTGTGAGAGAGTTGAGGGCTGTTTGGAAACTGAAACAGTATTTGCTGTGCGAGCAAAAAGGAGGCAGCAAAGAGCCTGGGCGCGGCTTAGCTCAACTGTTCTGTACTGAAGCTGCTTGGTGCTGTGAAACTGAAATTCCTCTCCTCTGCTTGTGTTTTGCATTTGGAAGAGATTTCTTTTTTTCAGGTGGAAAGGAGGAGTAGAACTCCTGAGCATCAGAGCGTGTTAATAACAACAATAAAAATAATAATAATACAGAAAATACTCTAAATGCTTTTATGGTTATTTAAAAAAAAATCCTTTCTTAGTGAGGTCCTGGAAGCCAAGAGGAACCTACGGACTAAATGTCAAGTTTGTAGGCTTTACAGTTCTGGAGGTTTTTTTAATGATGCGTGAGGGGGCCTTTCGCTTTTATATATATAGATTTTAAAAAAAAACCTGGTGGCTTGTTAAGTGCATTTGCAGCAAACCAGAGATCTTTTGACAGAGGCTCCCCTGGCGAAGGTGTTATTGGGGCTGCTGTTCTTAGCATTTTTTTTCCCCCAAATGGGAGAGGTTGTCAGGTGCTAACTATTCCAGGGTAGCTAGATTTCCAACCCCCCCCCTCTGCCCCCCCCGAGATTAGTCTATTCTTATCCAAGAATAAGAGAGCTTTCTGAGGGATCCGGGCTGTGAACTTGCAAACAGGCATGCCATATAAATGTAAATCACGTGACCGTGAACATGCTGCAGCGGTCATTAGTGCAAAAAATTGTTCGTTTTTTTCAATGCCCTGGTAACTTTGGTCACTAAACGAACCATGCTTCGCTACATAACTGTGTGGTCCGGCTTAGTTTCTGGGGAGGAAAATAAGGGGGGGAAATTCTGCCTCTGCCTACCAGCATCCATCGGTATTCATCTGGCTAGCATCCTGTCCGTGTGCGAGAGAGTTGAGGGCTTTTTGGAAACCGAAAGAGTATTTGCTATGCGAGCTAGAGAGAGAGAGAGAGAGAGAGAGACGGATAGATGGATAGACGGATGGATGGATGGATGGATGAATGAATGATAGATAGATAGATAGATAGATAATAGATGATAGATAGATAGATAGATAGATAGATAGATAGATAGATAGATAGATAGATAGATAGATAGATAGATAGATAGACAGAGAGAGAGAGAGACGGATAGATGGATAAATGAATGGATGGATGAATGAATGTAGATGATAGATAGATAGATGATAGATAGATGAATGATAGATGATAGAGAGAGAGAGAGAGAGAGAGAGAGACGGATAGATGGATAGACGGATGAATGGATGGATGGATGGATGGATGAATGAATGAATGATAGATGATAGATAGATAGATGATAGAAAGATGAATGATAGATGATAGATAGATAGATAGATAGATAGACAGATAGATAAATATAATATAATATAATATATATATAAATATTAGTGATATAAAACTACAAATTTGTCTCTCTGTCTCTGGCTCCATTTGGACACGTGCTAAGCAATTCCCTGACACTCATTTGTTTTTCTGCCTTCAGGAAAAAAAATATGGATAAACTAGTTGAAAGATTGAACCGTCAGCTGCGCCGTGGCGCCTTCTCTGAGCAATTTGCTGGCTGCAGCATGGCCGTGGCACGTGGCTGAAGTCAAACTAAATAGCACAGCATTTCTTTAAATAGCAGGGAACCGGTTGAGCTGGAAGGCTTTTGTGGGGGGGCTGATTTTTTAAATATATACCAGCCAGTTTAAGGTGGTGTTCAGAAAAATCGATTTCATTCATTACTGAATTTGCTCGAAGAATATTTATAGCATATGGGTGAACTGTGAGATCCTTCGTGTGCTCGGTTGGCTGTTTTCTTGCAGACGTTTCATGACCCAATTAGGTAACATCATCAGTGCTGGAAGGGAGCGGGACTGGCTGGAGGAGGAGGAGGAGGAGGAGGACCAAGAGATCCTTGGTGCTCAGAGCTTTGTGGTTTTTCTTGCAGACGTTTCATGACCCAACTAGGTAACATCATCAGTGCTAAAGGGACGTACATGTTGTATATTGTTTGCCCTGTCAGTATTGGTGGGAATGTTCACGTCTGAGTTGGCAGTTCCTTGATTGGGGTGTTGTTGTTCACTTGGGCTGCTGGTCTGGCAGTATTAGTCCTCGATTTTTGACCGGAATTGAGCCCCAAATTCCTCTTGTTAAGCGAGACTGTTGTTAAGGGAGTGTTGCCCCATTTTGCAATCTTTCTTGCCACAGTTCTTCAAGCAAACCACTGCAGTCCTTAAGTTAGTCCTTAACCAGGCGAGTTAGCTAGATAGCTTCCCCGTTGACTTTGCTTGTCAAACGGTCACTAAGGGGGAAATCACGTGAGCCGGGGACACTGCAACCGGCATAAGTACATGCCAGTTGCCAAGCCTCCGAATTTGCATCACGTGATCCCGGAGTCCTGCAGTGATTGTAAAGGCGAAAAATGATCATGTTTCTTTTTTTTTTCCTCAGTGCGGTTTTATCTTCCAACAGTCCCTGAACGAATGGCTATAATTTGACACTTGATTTCTAGATTCTGGTGTAAAAAGATGTACAATTAAGATATTAGCCAGGGGTAGGATTCAGCCAGCCGGTAGTTCCTGCAATCATTTGGCCCACCCTCCCATGCCCTAGTCCCGTGATGGCAAACCTCTGGCACGAGTGCGACAGGTGGCACGCAGAGCCATTTGTGTCGACACACGAGCCCCAGCCAAATTTACCTGCACTGCACATATGTGCGCCTCCCAGCTGATTTCGGGCCTGTTTGAGTCCGTTTTTGCCTTCCCAGAGGCTCGAGGGAAGCCTCTGCAGCCTCGGGAGGCCGAAAAACGGGCCTTCCGGAAATACCAGAAGTGCCAAAACGGGCCCTTTTTCGGCCTCTTGGAGCCTCCAGGAGGGCAAAAACGGCCTCAAATGGGCCAAAAATCAGCTGGGAGGCGCGTGCATGCGCAATGCAGGTAAGGGGGATGGGGGGTGTTGCGTGTGCGTGCCCAGGGGGCGGGGCACATTGTATCGTGGGTGTTAGCACCTGCACACTGCTTTCAAAAAGGTTCGCCATCACCGCCCTGGTCTGTCCTTTAAATTTCCGTCTTTTGCAGCCTCAGTTGATTCGCGTGGCACGACGGATTGCCGTGCGAATCAGCTGTTTTACTCACCAGGGCTGCCGTAGAAGGTAAGGATTAGTGCTGAAAATGGCCGCGTTTGCGCAAAGCATGCGCTCGCCCAACCGGTTGTTACATCGCTTGAATCCCACCTCTGGTATTAGCATTTTGACTTCGAATTCCTAACCCGGAGGGTTTTCTTTTTTTCCTTTACTCTCCGTTGACACCAGGTGTTCTGACCAAGACTTATTGGGTCACTAACAAACACAAGTTAGTCTTTTTCTTTGTTTCAATGGCTGTGAATTTTAGTCATTCACAGCCCATAATGAGTCTGAAAACAGTTTGTAAACAGTCCCATGGAAGTCTGCCAAAATCCTTCAGGATAAGTCTGATCAGCACCCACCTTTATCTTCCGTGAAATGCTGCCAACGACTAAACGTCCAATTAGTTATACGAGGCCAAAACCGAACACAAATTCAACATGGAGCTTCGGGTTTCCAAACCAACCAGTACGAACAAAGTTGCTTCCTGCAAAGGCCCCTGTCCCTTTGCTCCTTTTTTTATGTCTTATGGGAGGAGCCTTACTCCCGAGTCACCCATTTTGTCTTAGCTGTTCTTGCCTTATGGCAGCTCTATGCAAGGGCACACTGGGAACAGGCTCCCGCTGTTCTTCTGCCTCGCTGCTTCCCGATTCTGGAGGCTCCGGGGTCGGTACATAACTCCCAGATGCCCTGGCACCATCTCTGTATTGGACGCAGGACCCGAGTCCTTGTTGCGGTTCGCCGGCAGCAAGGGTGGACGGCTGAGGTCTCGGAGAGTGAGGACTCAGATAAGGGGGTCTGCGTGAGAGGCAGGGGTAGGGTTAGGACCATCAGAGTGTTTGTGGAGGCTGGCAGCACTGATGAAGAAGTCCCCGAGGAGCCTGCGCACTGGGCTGCTCAAAGGAAAGAGCAGCTGCAGCAACACGGGTGACTCGGGAGTAAGGCTGCAAGGTGATGGCCCCTCTCTGAGGAGATAAAAGCCAGCTGAGAAACCGGAGTTCTTTGCAGGAAGCAAAGACGTTTTTGCACTCAAGCCTTGTGGACGTTTGGACTATCTTGGTTGGTGTTTGGTCTTTGTGTTTGGAATATTTCTTAGCCACTTTATCTGGTGTTCTTGGCAGCCTTGCACAACTTTGGCAAGGCTCCTTCTTATCAGAGACAATTAGTTTGAAAGAGCCTTTGAACCGGGAAGGAACGGAATTCGCAGAGAAGCATTAAAAGGTTTTGCTGTTACCTCCATTTCGGGTTGGTTTCCTTGGTACCAGGTTTGGGTCAGAACAGTCCTCCCCGGACTCCTAGACTGGCCTACGTTCCTCACCACCGTCCGGCTCTGCTTCCAGCTCCAAAGGCTGCCGACGGACCACACAACACCAGGATCCCATTAAGGCTGGGGCCTCTTTTGGTTGTGGGTTGGGGGTCTCAGGTGTGTGTGTGTGGGTCTCAGAAGGTATCATTTGGAGCTGGAAGGAAGGAAGGAAGCAAGCAAGCAAGCTTAAACCTGCGGCCTTTGCTGCGTTCAGTATATAAATCACACACCCACGGAGCTGAGGAAGACGCGCGCACACACACCATAGGAAGTCCACCGCATCTCTGATTTCCTTTTCTTCAACTTAATCATACCCCCGCCCGACACACACACACACACACACACACACAACAAAAGCCTTCCTTGGCTGAGCTAAACAGCCCGACTCTCTCACTAGCCAACCCCCCCCCTCCCAAAATAACATGTGGGACAAAGGTAAACGCAGACCGCAATGGAGAGCAACCACCATTTATTTCGGAAGCAATATAAGGTCGCCCGAGCCTCGGTCTCTTACCTTTCTTCTCCCGTCCCTTCAGACTCCGTCGCGAGGTTCCCGTCTGTCTCTCTCCCGTCTGTGAAATTGGACGAAATGAAAAGGCATCCGGATTTCTGCTGGGCGGTCAGCCTCCTAACCGTAAGCATCCCTTTCTTTCTGTGCGTTGGGCAGCGGCCGGGAAGGATGGGCGTGGAGGTCCTGCCTGGCCTTGAAAGAAGAGGCTGGACAACCATCGCCACCCCTGCCACCCCCCGAAATGGTATCGGGTTTCCCTGTCTGATGAGCAGAGGGTTGGACTAGAAGACCTCCGGGGTTCCTTCCAACTCTGCTTCCTATTCTGTTCTGATGCTAACCCTCGCAAGAGGGTATTTGGGGTTGCGGGGGGCGGGGGGGGGGGGCAAAGGGCTGGATTAAGTTTTATCCTCCGGCAGTGATTTTCAAACTTGGCCGCTTTAAGCGGGGTGGATTTCAACGCCCAGGCTGGCCGGGGGGATTCTGGGAGTTGAAGTCCGTCCCTCTGAAAGGAGGGCCCTAGAACAGGTTGCACCATGGGGCAGGTGGGTGGTGATCTGAATCAAAATGGAGTGAATTGGTGGAAGTGGGTTAAATTCAGGAGGGGGGTTCAGCCTCTGGTATGGGCCGTGCGGCACTCCATGCCTAGCGGTATCTTTGTCATTTCAGCTTTTCAAATTCCTTTCTTTCTTCCTTCCTTCCTTCCTTCCTTCCTTCCTTCCTTCCTTCCTTCCTTCCTTCCCTCCTGGTTTTCCTTCCTTATATCTCCTTCTTTCCTTCCTTCCTTCCTTTACTTCCTCCCTCCCCCCTCCCTCCCTCTCCTTCCTTCCTTCCTTCCTTCTTTCCTTCCTTCCTTCCTTCCTTCCTTCCTTCCTTCCCCCTCCTCCCTCCCTTCCTCCTTCCCTCCTGGTTTTCCTTCCTTATATCTCCTTTCCTTCCTTCCTTCCTTTACTTCCTCCCTCCTCCCTCCCTCCCTCCTTCCTTCTTTCCTTCCTTCCTTCCTTCCTTCCTTCCTGCCTTCTGCCTTCCTGCCTGTCTGCTTTTCCTCCCTCCCTCCCTCCCTCCCTCCTCCATTTTGTCATTCCTACACTCTCTTGTTTTCCTCCCTCCCTCCCCCCTCCCTCCCTCCCTCCCTCCCTTCCTTCCTTCCTTCCTTCCTTCCTTCCTTCCTTCCTTCCTTCCTTCCTTCCCTCCCTCCTTCCTTTCACCCTCCCCGCCTTCTGCCATCCTGCCTGTCTGCTTCTCCTCCCTCCCTCCCTCCTCCATTTCTTCATTCCTTCACTATTTTCTTCCTTCCTCCCTCCCTGCCTGCCTTCTGCCTGCCTGTCTTTCTTCTCTCCCTCCCTCCTTCCTTCCTTCCTTTCACCCTCCCTGCCTTCTGCCTTCCTGTCTGTCTTTTTCTTCCTCCCTCCCTCCTCCATTTCTTCATTCCTTCACTATTTTCTTCCTCCCTCCCTCCTTCCTTCCTTCCTCCCTCCCTCCTTCCTTCACTCCTTCCCTTTTCTCTTCTTCCTTCCTCCCACCCTCCCTCCTGCCTGCCTGTCTGCCTTTCCTTCCTTCCTTCCTTCCTTCTTTCTTCCCTCCCTATTTTATCTTTTCTTTCTTTCCTTCCTTCCTCCCTATTTTGCCCTTCCTTCCCCACTTTTCCTTCCTTACTTCCCTCCCTCCTTGCTTCCTTTCTTCCTTCCTTCGTTCCTTCCTTGTTTCCTTACTTCATTCCACCATCTCTGCCTGTCTGCCTTTCCTTCCTCCTTCCCTCCCTCCTTCCTTCATTCCTTCTTTCTTTTCTCTTCTTCCTTCCCTCCCTCCTTTCCTTCCTTCTTCCCTCCCTCCCTTCCTATTTTCTTCTCCTATTCTTTTTTCTTTCCTTCCTTCCTTCTTTCTTCCCTCCCTATTTTATCTTTTC